GCCACTTGAGTTGGGCCGGCAGCGCCGCGACCGCTAAGGACGCCTTGCAGCTGCGCCGCACACGCCGGGGTAAGTCCATAGCCAATGGGTACCAGCGCTGCCGGGTTGCGCGTCCCATCATCTCGGGGCATAGATTTTTCGTCGGAACGAAGAGTATGGGGTGTGTGTGGTTCGGTAGACAGACACTGCGATGCGGTTAGCATGCTTTCGATTGGATTCGACACTATCATAATATGGAAGCGAAGATAATTTTCACCGCGGGGCATTGAACCAACGTGCTCAGACGACGGCATGTCATTCCACTTTTTTTCTATAAAGGCGTCTCTCAGCAAGGCAATCAACCAAAGCACTGAGAAGGAAGCCTCCGGTGTTGGAAACCAAGCAACATGCGCAAAACCGCAAGCGAGCGCTGCGGCAGCCGCCTGAATCCCACAGCTGAGAGAGAACAAGCCTGGGCTGAAACAGGCAGCAATAAGGTGGTACTTATCTATCTTATGATGATTTGTATCTGCCAAGCCTCCCCGTGCAGCACCCAAACTCATATAATTCCGTTGCTGCAATGTTTCAGAAAGTTGCCGGAGATCTTTTCTAAAAGCAGTGTGTGGGTCGGAAGCCATATCATCCTCACTCTCGCTGCACGGCGTGATTTCGTTGGAAGGTCCACTTTTGTCACTCGTACCAGAGACATGGGCTATCGCACATTGCACATATTTCAGCGTTTTTTGAAGCGCATGCTGTGTTTTAGAGATAGGCAACCCTGTTTGAAGGGATTCCGAACCCGCCAAGATTTCGTGGTGGGTGTTAACAACATCATAAAGTACTGTGAGTGTATGCAAAACGTTTTCACGATCCTTAGTAGGGCGCTGAGAATCTTTTAATTCGCCGAGCAAGCTTTGCACGTCGATAGCACAGCAGGGTGTCATAGTGTGCAGTCCACATGCCTCAGAAACGTTCTCAAATAAGACTTTGGAAGCAGTGGAGGGAAAAAGTTCGGAGCTGCTCACCCGAGAACGACACGAGAGACCTACCGATGAAGGCGTACCAGGGAGTGCACCATGATATCGCAGCAATGGACGCCCATGGACTAAGCCTGATGCTGTGAAAGGTGGAGTATACGCCAAAAGGTTCTGCTTCCACAGAAAGTGGAAGGCTCTTGAAAAACGCAGCGACATCCATAAAGATGATTACAACAAAAGTTCGGTTGAACCCGTGAATGGCATCAAACGAAATTTATGAGTGCATTCTAAAAGTAGGAAAGGCAGTAAAAGTAAAAAAGGAACCGAAAAAATATTTGATAAGGCTGATAGGTGATAGTTGCACGAGCATCCTCCGTACTCAACACCCAAAATACTTTCCATTTCATTGTTGTTTTATATTTTTTCCCAATTATTTTTCTGCGTTTTTAATTTCAAAGAGACACAACTAATGTTCAGATTTGAATAGATAGCCCTCCCAAAACCCAAATCCCCTTGACTCTATCATACCAAAGGTCCCTAAGGAATGAGTAGACGTTAAGCTTTTTTATTCCTTTTGTTTTACGCATAAGACTCACTCCTTAGTATGTGTACAATTAGCTAGTGATAGGAAATCAAGGTATCTATACCGTAGGAGGAAAAATAAGTCGCAAATATATTAGAAAGGAGTTGGGATGGTAGAAAAAATGAGCGTTTAGGCTCAATTTATAGAACCGGAAACAATAAAACGCATGCATTGAACAGACATACATATTTATCTGATTGGAAAAAGACCAGTAAACATCAAGTTCTTTTGGCATATTTTCCTTTAAAGAGAAAACAAACTGTGGAAGTGTGCTACCTTAGCTTGATCGCCTTTATCTTCAGAGTTTGTTTCAATTCTTCAGATGCGGCCACAAGACCCTCGGTTCCCAGCCAATTTCCTCCAAGGTTGTGCGCAGCACTTCTCTTTCCATCATGCTTAAAAACTTGCCATCTGTAGTTTGGTTACGCTCCCTTTTGCGTTCATTGAGAAATTTATGGAAGAACCCTTCAGCCAACGCGCACAAACACCATGCATGAAAACCCTCAGTGTCCGAAATGAGATGCGTCCAGTCGTCCACAGAAAACCTATCGGACGTCATTACGTCTTCAGACCTCTCGTTAAAGCCCGCGAAAAGAATCCCCAGCAACTGAACCAAAGAAACCATTTCCTCCAGGCTCCAGCGCGGCGTCTTGCAGTCCGAATGGCATGTCTTCCAGGCAAGAAGCCCGTCCAACAACTGAAGCTGATCGATACCGCGTGGGTCGGAACTCGTCAACAAGCGCCCCGAGTGAGGAATAAGGGGGGTCTCCAGAAGCAGACGCACCGCCGCAAGGGTCGTTGAAGGGGAGCAGCGGGTCGCTGTCAGCGCCAGCGCGACCGCGAGTGGCCACGGCAGACCGTCCTCGGCCTCAGGATTAGTGAACGCGCGGAGGGCGATCCCGAGAGTTTCCGACGCCGCAGAGGAAAACCCCATCTCGCGCGTCGTCGGCGAAAGCAGCAGCCCCGCCAGGTCAATCACGAGGTCCACCAGGGCCCCCGCCGCGGCATCCGAGTCTGCATGGCCCTCCTCTGCTTCTTCGCCATCGCTGTGGTTGAAGGGTATGGCGGGATTCGCAAAAAGCGCCTGGCGCCGCGGCAGTACCCACAGCAGGGTATGGCTCAGCAGCGCCTCCCACCCAAGGACGTCCTTGACGTCCTTGTGAAGCCGCAAAAGCCGGCGCAGCCAGGTCGCCCAGAGCGCCTTATGGGGAAAAGAATCGTCGTAAAGCGGGGCGATCACCCACTGGCGGGGTGCCCCGGTGACGGCAAGGCCCTGGGCCCTCCCCTGTCCCCCATGGGATGCGGTCGCCACGCCCTTCTGCAGGGCCTGGCCCAACCCCACCAAAGGCCCCCCGTGCGCCCCAACCGTCAGCTCCAACCCGCCGCGGTCGCTGAGCAAACACGCCACCCCGCGTGGGAGGGCGTCCAAGCAATGTTTGGTAATCGCCATGCTCTGCAGGACGAACAGGGCCGTGAGCGCCGCCTCGCGGCGGTAAAGGTCGCCGGCGAGGGCTGCTTCCCCCCCCGCCGGGGGCTTCCTTCCGGCCTTTGGCGCCGCGGTGAACTCCTGCAAAAGAAGCCCCACCTCCACGGCCGTGCACATCTCATCGGGAAGGAGCCGGGACGCCGCGTCGGTTCGGATCCCCAGACAACCCGCCCGGTACTTCGCGCTGAGGGATGCGGCGTATCCCACAATCGCGTGGTGGTTTATCGCGGGGAAGCCGCACGCGATGGCGTGCATTAGCCGCGTATTCGCATGGCTGCGGATGGATTTTACGGCAAGCAGCATGAGCAGCGAGGCGTTCGACTTGGGGATGATTTCGCGGGGGAGGGAGGGGGGGGCGTTTACAGTCTCGCCGGGGGTGTCAACCGGATGCCCCACGACGTCCGCCGGGGTTTCCAGAAGGTGGGGATCTAACCCCAGACAACTTACAATAACGCGGTTCATCGCGTCTGAAGGGTCGCTTGGTCGTGGCAAGGGGAGGCTCAGGCGGAGGAAAGACTCCGAAAGGAGTTCAGAGCGCAAAACGGACTGACTGAGGAAGTTCTGCATATGCTGTTGGGTTTCTACCGTCGTCCCTTGAAGTCGGAGGCAGTCGATCGGGTGTGTGGTGAAGTAGGTTGCGAGGTAGTGCCTGCAGGTTGCGTCCACCAGGTAATGCAAAGTCTGCCGCGCCCCATCCTCTTGCTCGGACGACGGCACAACTTCGGCAGACCGACACAACTCCATCGCGGCTAACGCGGCTTCATGAAAATAGGTTTCCTCCATTTTGGGATGCCCGCCGCCTACATTCCATCCCGAGCGCAGGCGATGCTGCTCTTTTTCTTTTCCTGCAGGCATCGGCCGATGCTCGGTCGCTAAATCCCAAATCTCCAGAATCATCGCCGCGCCCACCCGCATGCCGTCCGTTAAAAGCGTCGCACTGACGTCGCGAAGGAGCTTCCCGCCGAGCCCATGCCGCACCATCTCACGTACGAGCATAAATGTCAGCGCCAGGGCTTTAACCGCGTCCATTGAGATCCCCTCCGCGGGCTTCACCGTACAGGCGAGGATCACAAACAGCCCCCACGTCTCGTAGCCGCTGGAGGAGGGCCAAGGCCGAAGCAGCGCCCTCCCGGCCGCCGGAATACGCATCAAGCGATACCACAAAAGTAGAGGCCGCGTTAGGCTTGCCATCGACCGCTCCCCGAGCACCACCCGCTGGAGCTGCCACCTCGTCCACGTGCCGAAGCCGGGATCCTCCGCGACCCGCCGCGCCACGCGAGGGGAGCTGATATTTCCATACAAGAGAAGCTGAACCCACAGCTGCTCGAGGCCCAACGCGGTCTTTTCCCACGCCTCGCCCGAGTTCGCCGCCGCCGAAGAGGAGGAGGACTCCATGAGAAACATTTGCATGGCCGCCATAATGCGATTGGTGTAGCCCAGCTTCTCAAGCCCCATCTTGCGGTCCTCGTCGTCCCGCAATAGCTCGGAGATCTCCTCAAAAGGCAATTCAAGCCCATCCGCGCCTCTCTCTGAAACCTCCGCTTCCCCACTTTTCTTTTGTGGGTTGTTATTTAAGGTCTCCTTGTCGGGCGAATGGCCGTTGCTGCGGGCCTCCGAGGCTTCGGCATCATCGAGGGGATCGCCGAGAGGGGCCCCGATCTCGCCCATCACCTCCACAAACGCATCGTTGTCCTGCCGGAGCAGCATCGCCAGACATGCGGCCGCCAGCCGGCAGGTCGAGGGATGGGCAGCGGTGGATAACACCTCAAGAATGAAAAACACAAAGGCTGCACAATCCGGGCCGTACATACATCGCCGCCTTAAAGAAAGCTCCTCCGCCTCCTCCTCGGGGGCATACCAAAGATGGAGGAGAAGCGCGTGAAGGGCGATGGACTGATGCCGCCGCACCGTACTCCGCAGACAGCGAAATACTTCGTTAAAAAAAGCCTCCCCCGTCGGCGCCGCCGCGCATCCCGCGAGGCCGTCGGTCGATGTTTCTGGTATTGTTTGCGAAAGCCCCGCCCGCACCCGCGCCGGCAGGGGCTGTTGATAATAGCCGTGATAAAGCACGCGAAATTCCTCCGGCCGCCAGTGGTGGGAGGTGTTGAGGAGCGTCCGGGAGGCCGCCCCGCCGCCCACAGGGAGCACCTC